ATAGATAGATAGATAGATAGATAGATAGATAGATAGATAGATAGATAGATAGATAGATAGATAGATAGATAGATAGATAGATAGATAGATAGATAGATAAATAGATAGATAGATAGATAGATAGATAGATAGATAGATAGATAGATGATAAATGGATGGATGGATGGATATATATATAGAATAATAGATAGATAGATAGATAGATAGATAGATAGATAGATAGATAGATAGATAGATAGATAGATAGATAGATGATAAATGGATGGATGGATGGATAGATATATAGAATAATAGATAGATAGATAGATAGATAGATAGATAGATAGATAGATAGATAGATAGATAGATAGATGATAAATGGATGGATGGATGGATAGATATATAGATAAATAGATAGATATATAGATGATAGATAGATATAAATAGATTGTTGTTAGATATATTTAAAAAAAACAGTTCAATAATTTAAACTGTATAGAGCATTCGTTTTAGAATCCTTATCTTATATATTTACTATTTGAAGAAATTGTGCTTTTCTATACATAAAAAACGTAGTAGAGTATATATCTTTAAAATTAGCCTAATTTCATCTAACATTATGATTTTGAAACTAAAACATTTACAACTTTGGAGTAATGCTTTTAATTTCAAATGAAATATAATCTGAAGTTGATCGTGATTTCTGAGAAGGAAGTTAAGCTATACAAATTATGTATTTCTTGGTAAAAAAAAAAATTACTGTCGAAACTGAAACAGGATGCGTCCAAGATTTTTTATTTTAAAATATAAAGTAATTTAAGAAAGATTGAAACGAAAAGCATTTGGGGGGGGGGGAGGGGTGGCTAAATTTTTATCTTACAAACAATAACTGGAAATTGTGATAAGGCAAAAATTTAAGTACAACACTAAATCTTCCAAATATTATCGGTATGGATTTTAATAAAAAAGATAAACATATAAATAGATAGATAGATAGATAGATAGATAGATAGATAGATAGATAGATAGATAG